CAGAAGGGGCGCTACGGGGCCTGGGAGGGGCGCGACGGGGCCCAGGAGGGGCGCTACAGGGCCCAGGGAGGGCGCGACAGGGCCCAGGAGGGGCACTACGGGGCCCAGGAGGGGCGCGACGGGGCCCAGGAGGGGCGCTACGGAGCCCAGGAGGGGCGCGACGGGGCCTGGGAGAAGCGCGACGGGGCCCAGGAGGGGCGCTACAGGGCCCAGGGAGGGCGCGACGGGGCCCAGGAGGGGCGCTACGGGGCCCAGGAGGGGCGCGACGGGGCCCAGGAGGGGCGCTACGGAGCCCAGGAGGGGCGCGACGGGGCCTGGGAGGGGCGCGACGGGGCCCAGGAGGGGCGCTACAGGGCCCACGAAGGGCGCGACGGGGCCCAGGAGGGGCGCTACGAGGCCTGAGAGGGGTGCGACGGGGCCCAGGAGGGGCGCTACAGGGCCCAGGGAGGGCGCGACGGGGCCAAGGAGGGGCGCTACGGGGCCCAGGAGGGGCGCGACGGGGCCTGGGAGGGGCGCTACAGGGCCCAGGAGGGGCGCTACGGGGCCCAGGAGGGGCGCTACAGAGCCCAGGAGCGGGCGCGACGGGGCCTGGGAGGGGCGCGACTGGGCGAGGGGCTAGAGGGGTGAGCGGAAGCGGTAGGTGGGGGGGATCCTACCTACGCGTGATACCATAACAAAATTGAACAGTTGATGATAGAGTGAGAGTACACACAAATATACCTAAGTGTTGTACCCTCTAAGAGGTGACCCTATACAGTCTATACAAACATAACAGATACACATGTTTGACAAAAACACCCTCGCGATTTTCCCGTGCGTTTCATAAAACAGCACGCCCAGAGTTCTTGCAGAGTGCGTTTGAACAATTTGGGCTGCGGGTTTAAAACCACAGGCTAGAATAGCACACCTGAGGAGCTCTTGAAAAAATGTTTCGTTTAGGGGCAGACCCTTTGGTGCGTTTTCTATTTCCGAAATGGTATGGGACCCGAAATTGTCTGTAATGCGAAGTAGCTTTGCTACGTTATTGGTGCGCGACGATTGATTTGGCGTCAGATGCTCGGCGGATGAAGTTGCGACTGACCGCTCACACAGCTCAGTTTTTTCAAGAGCTCCATGGGTGTGCAATAGGTTTTTAACCCGAGGTTCAACAAGGTCGCATTTCGCACAACCATATGGCTGTTCGGCTCACAAGCTGCACAGTCCACCTTTGCCCTAGTCGCAAGTCGCGGTCGAGGGTGCCTCGTAATGTGAAGCTTGAACACGAACGCCGAATACATCCGAGATACAGTATGTTTTTTTCGTTTCACCAAGCTGGCGAAAAGTCAAATGAGTCGTGCACGCGTTTCCCGCCTCGTCGCACACGCGTCAAATCGGCACCACTGCGTTTGTATCATTGTTCAGCTGCCCAAAAACGCACCTCGCAAAATCGTATTGGGAACCCGTTTTTTTTCAAAAGAACCATCTTCAAGAACGGCGCTCTTGAAGCCCCCCCTATGCTATTTTAGCCTGTGGTTTTAACATCACCCCACCATGATTTCTATATTTTCAGGACCAGACTCTCAAACCTAGAAATTGAATGAATGTAGAGTTAGAGAGTACATGCACATATACCTAAATGTTGTACCCTCTAGGAGGTTACCCTATATAGTCTATACAAACATGATCAATAAACATGTTTGACACACCCCCTGGACTGCATAGGGGAATGTCCTAGATAAGCAGCTCAGGGCGGCACTACTAGTCCAGCCTCTGAGACAAGGGTCTAAAAGACCAGTCAGAAGGAGTACAGACAAGACAAGAACAAGTACAGGGCGGCACTACTAGTCCAACCACTGTGAGAGGACACAAGTCCAGTCTGAGTGTACACATATATATAGGACAGTACAAAGTCAAGGCCCGAGTAAGTGAGCGACTACAGGAACCAGACCAAGCTGTACACAGTGCCGCTGATGATCTTTAGGCGCAAGCGCCTTCGTAAAGATATCAGCTGTGTTGGCACCAGAGGCCAAGTGTACTACGCGAGCCTGGCGACGCTGCTGTAGCTCGCGCAGGAGGAAGTACCGCAGCTGGATGTGCTTCGCTCTACCCTCGAGTCGAGGCTCCTGACACAGGAGGATCATGGCCCTGTTGTCAGCGTACAAGACCGGGGCAGAGCTAGGCCGCTCACCTAAGTCAGTGAGCAAGAAGGTCAGCCAGCGGAGCTCCTGTGCCGCCATGGCACCAGCATAGATCTCAGCCTCACAGCTGGACTGGGCAACAGACGAGGAGCGGGTAGCTCTCCACGAGACAGCACCTGAGCCAAGGCTAAAGCAGTAGCCCTGGGAAGACCTGAGCGTCTCGGCGTCGTCTGCCCAAGAAGCGTCTGTGTGTCCAGTAAGGACCACTGGCCTACGTCCGCCTAGCACTAACCCCATGCCCGATGTACTTGCAAGATAACGCAAAACCCTCTTAGCGGCAGACCAGTGCTGAGGTCGGTGTCTGCCTGTGGCCACAAAACGAGCCAGGATGCTGAGAGGGTATGCGAGATCTGGGCGAGTGCAAGTCATCAGGTACATGAGGCAACCCACTAGCTCAGCGTAAGGACCACTGGGATCTATCGACTCCTCAGGAACTGGAGCGGAGAGTCTGTGGTCCAGAGGAAGAGGGGTGGGCTGTGCGGAGGAGAACTGAAGGCCGAACCTCTGAAGGACCTGGCGCACCAAGTGTGACTGAGTCAGGGTGATGGTGCGCGCGGCTCTGTCTCTGGAGATCTGCAAGCCAAGGTAACGGCGCAGCTCTCCAAGGTCAGTGCAGGTGTGTCTCTTCAGCAGCTCTGCCTTCACGGAGGCCAGTGCGTCCCTGTCAGCTGTGGCAAAGACCAGGTCGTCTACGTAGACAAGGATGTAGAACGGAGCCGGGCCAGCACGAACGAAGAGCGAGGGGTCTGCAGAGGACGGAAAGAACTGCAGGTCAGCAAGGGTAGCACGCAGCGTGTCGTGCCACTCACGAGGCGCCTGGCGCAGGCCGTAGACTGGGCGCCGCAGAAGCCACTGGGTCCCAGGGGGGAAAGTGCCAGTAAAGCCCTGAGGACGACGCAGGTAGACCTGCTCGTGAAGGCTGCCCTGAAGGAAGGCAGTGGAGAAGTCGAGGGAGTGAAGCTCGTAGTCACGCTGAGCCGCTACGTGTAATAGAACCCGAAGAGTAGTCATCTTCGGCGTAGGAGCGAAAGTCTGAAAGAAGTCCACCCCCTCGCGCTGACTGAAGCCTCTAGCCACGTAGCGCGCCTTGAACACAGGCGGCTCTCCAGGAGGGTGCTTCACCTTGAAGAGCCAACGGCCATCGACTACGTTCACCCCAGGTGGGGGAACTGCGTCGACGAAGGTGCCGGTGGATCTCCAAGATGCCATCTCCTGTTCCATGGCAGCTATCCACTGAGAGGCCCAGGGTCCCGAAACCGCCTCAGCATAAGTACGAGGGGTCGGGATGTCGAAAACGTCTGGGTCACCCTCAGGGACTAGCAGCATGGAACAGAGATGGGGAGCAGCCTCGGACAGGAAAGCAAGCTCAAACTGGCGGTCCTCCAGGACGTCACTGCCGAGGGCAGGAGCACCCCCGACAGACGGAGGACAGGCAGGGTCAGAGACAAGAGCGGTGGCGTAGTCAAGGCGGCGGGTAGAGGCGAAGTCAGCGACCGCAGCGACAAGGGCGTCAAGTCTCGACACTGGAACAGACGGGTCGGTAACGAGAGAGGCAAGGACCCGAGGAACAAGAGGGCGAGCGGCACGAAAGTAGTCAGACAGAGGAGGAGACGCAACGACGAGAGAGGACGGAGGAGGAGACGGGAGGAGGGGAGGACGAGACGCGTGGGACCGGAGCAACATAGGGTGAGAGCGCGGGACGGGGGAGACAGGACGAGCACGGGAGGGGCGGCGAGACCAGACGTGAGAGGGGGGCGTCGGGTCAGGAGACAGAGGAGGGGACACTGGTGGGGAACGAGGGGGAAAACGAGCCGGGGACGAGTCCGGCGGAGGGAACACGGGGCCGTAGACGGGAAGAGGAGGAGACGGCAGGAGAGGAACAGACACAGGGTCAGGGGACGGAAGGCCGAGCAGACGGAGGGCGGACACCGGCGGGGACTGCTGCTGCGGCGACACAACTCCAACACCAGGGCCACAAGCTGCGCGACGGAGACCGCCCGAACCCTCCACACCGGCACCCCCAGAAGGGACACCCCCAGAGCCCGAAACCCCGCCAGCATCGGTACCACCCCCAGGCCCGCCGGGACAAGCCACGACAGGAGCCCCGGGACGAGTACCGACCTCAACGTCAGCACCCCCAGAGTCCACAAACAGCGGCAGCGACGACGGCGGCGGCGGCGGCGGCGGCGGCTGCAGTGACGGCCGCGACGGCGGCGGCGGTGGAGACGACGGCTGCAGCAGCTGCGGCGACGGCGGCTGCGGAGGCGGTGGAGGAGGAGACACCGGGGGAGGGACAGACGGCGAGGACTGCGCCGGAGGACTACCAGAGTCAGAAGACTCGTCGACCGGGACGACCGACGGGAGGGGGGTGACGTGAGACACACCAGAGGGGGCCGGACGGGGGGGCGGGGGGGGGGGGAGGGGCAGGGATTACCGGGGAAGGAGGGACCAGGAACAGGGGGGGAGTAACCGGGGGACCACGGTGAGGGAAGCGGCGGGGGCTTGGGAGGGGCGCTACCAAGCCCAGGAGGGGCGCGACAAAGCCCAGAAGGGGCGCTACGAAGCCCTGGAAGGGGCGCGACGGGGCCTGGAGGGGCGCTACGAGGCCCTGGAAGGGGCGCGACGGGGCCTGGGAGGAGCGCGACGGGGCCCAGGAGGGGCGCTAAGGGGCGCGACGGGGCCCTGGAGGGGCGCTACGGGGCTAGGGGGGGGTCGCGACTGGGCTCAGGAGGAGCGAGGTTAGGCTAGGAAACGCGACGGGAGGAGCGGAAGCGGTAGGTGGGGGGGGGGGGGGGGGTCGAAACCTACGCGTGATACCATCTCAAACCTAGAAATTGAATGAATGTAGAGTTAGAGAGTACATGCACATATACCTAAATGTTGTACCCTCTAGGAGGTTACCCTATACAGTCTATACAAACATGATCAATAAACATGTTTGACACAGACTGCTTATTCCATCGCAGTCTGTGGCCAGTCCGCCCGCCACTCCCCCGGTGACAATTGCACAACGCTGATCGCCCAATGGGCAGCCGAGAGCTACAAGCACAGGCCGCAAGGACAAAAATCATAGAAGAAAAAAAGGGTGAGAAAAGTTGCAGTGCAAAAACGGCAGATCCCGGTGTACCACACCATAATAGACACGCATATGGTTTATGAAAAACAAGCTCCACAAGCGCAAACCCACCTCGTCAAGAAACCGTGGATACTCAGAAGCCATCCAAGCTGCTGCCCGAGCCTCCGCCACCTCTTCTACTGATAGCCTTCCCGAACCTACACTCCCTGCCGAGCCTGCGTCCGAGCCTCCAGTATTCCGAGCCTCACACGGAATCTCTTGCAGGGTTATGAGGGCGTGAATGTATGCTCGGAGCACGTCCGCATGCGATGCGCCGCGATGGATGATGGCGTACACATGCGGCAGCAATGGTAATGGAGTGGACGATGGTGGTGGAGATTGTGACTGTAACACAGTCGCTTTTGAGGGTGTGAGCACCAGCAGGTAGCGGCCTGGGGGGCATGGGGAACAGGGGGATGAAGAGGGGAAGGGGGGTCTTGGGACAGGAAGGGGTTTTAATACTGAAGGACCACAGGGCATCAGAGAAGGCAGGAGATTGAAGGGGAGGCTGACAAGAAGGCAGGAGTGTAGGTTCGGGAAGGCTATCAGTAGAAGAGGTGGCGGAGGCTCGGGCAGCAGCTTGGATGGCTTCTGTGAGTGTAGCAAGCTGAGAGGCAGTGAGAAGCACAAAACGAGGGAGGCACTGTGAGCGCAGCGTGCACCTTTGGCGTAGCGTGCACACCTTTAGCGTAGCGCCTGAGAGCCTGCCGCACGCTGAGGTCACTGAGAGGGGGCACGAGCAGACGGGGGAGAAAGGAAGGGAATGGAGGGATTGAGAGAGGGAGAGAGGAGAGGGAGTGGAAGTAGGCAAGGGCGGAGCAGAGATTGCAGATGAGGAAGAGACAGGAAAGTGGCATGGACAGATGAACAAGAGGAAGGGGAGAGATGCGAGGTTCTTAAAATGGTGAGGCACGAAGCGACTGGTCACTGGAGAACAAGGCAGAGAGTGAAAGCAAGCTAGAGAGAAGAAAAAGCAGCAGCCAAGTATGCAGAAAAGAAACAGACAGGTGCAAGTTTCCAAAAAGGGACAAGAAAAGCTCTTCGCTGTTCCACTTACAGCTTCTTGGCATGAAGGTCGCTCAACCGAGTGCCCAAATGAATGTGTGCCATGAGCCGGTGCGCTTGTGGGCTCATGAGTGTGTGTGGACGGCCATGGATGCATCTTGAGCCGTGCTGCTGCATGTGGTGTGAGAAAAACTGAGGTAGTGAAGGGATGAGGCGCTCTTGATTGGAGACAACAGGTGGGGAGAGCACTGCATGGGGAGGGAGTTGGGTTGGGGAGGTGGGGGGGTGGGGGTATGGGTGGGGACTTTTGAGTCGATGGAAAAGTCAGGTGGGGGGTGAGGCACTGAGTGAAGGGATGAGTTGCTGCCAGTGGGATAAAACAGGTGGGGATAGCACTGCAGGGGGGTCGAGTTGGGGGTTGGCTGGGTGGGAGGGGAGCGGCAGGAGGGACTTGGAGGGAAGGGGAGGGAGTGGGAGGGAGTGGGAGGGAGTGGGAGGGAGTGGGAGGGAGTGGGAGGGAGTGGGAGGGAGTGGGAGGGAGTGGGAGGGAGTGGGAGGGAGTGGGAGGGAGTGGGAGGGAGTGGGAGGGAGTGGGAGGGAGTGGGAGGGAGTGGGAGGGAGTGGGAGGGAGTGGGAGGGAGTGGGAGGGAGTGGGAGGGAGTGGGAGGGAGTGGGAGGGAGTGGGAGGGAGTGGGAGGGAGTGGGAGGGAGTGGGAGGGAGTGGGAGGGAGTGGGAGGCAGTGGTTGGGAAGGATAGACGGGGCCAGAAAGTACAGGCGTGGGAAAAAGCGATGGAGGTGAAAGAGCAGGGCAGCACAGACAGGCTCACAGCAGGCACAGCACACTCAGGCAATGTGGGCGGGACCTCACACAGCACACTCAGGCAGTGTGGGTGGGACCTCACACAGCACACTCAGGCAATGTGGGCGGGACCTCACACAGCACACTCAGGCAATGTGGGCGGGACCTCACACAGCACACTCAGGCAATGTGGGCGGGACCTCACACAGCACACTCTGGCAGTGTGGGTGGGACCTCACACAGCACACTCTGGCAGTGTGGTGGGACCTCACACAGCACACTCACTTCTTCCTTACCCTTGTGGGCAAACCACTCCGAACTGGTGGGAAGAGAGTGGGCCGCCACCAGAATGGATGCCCACTCCCTTCCCAGTACCCCAGTCCCGCAAACCAGCGCTCTCAAGCCCATCACCCACTCCTCCACCCTGCACCCATCCATGCCACGTACCTTGCTTCCCCTGGCCCCTGGTGACTTTCGAGTCGACTCAAGAGTCCCCTCTATGCCGCGTACCTTGCTTCCCCTCGCCCCTGTACGCCAGCAGCAGCAGGGCCGCCCTCTCCCTGTTGAGGCTCGTGAGGCACAGGCTCCTGACGGCGCGGTAGTTGGCTGCTCTGCGTGCAAAGCACGGGGGGAGCGGGGGGAGAGGGAGGAGAGGGGGGAGAGGAGGGAGAGGGGGAAATGGTGGGCAGTATCGTCAGGGTTGTTAGCACTCCCAGCATCGACACTTTGAAGCATCGACACTTTGAAGCATCGACACAGCAGCGTGCACGTACACTGCACCGCACACATGAAAGGCAGTGTGTGAGTGGAAGACATTCCACAGCAGTGCCACGTTTCCTGCCACCAGCTGCCCCACTGCCATGCCCAGCCGCATGTCTCATGTCTTACCATTGCCACTAGGAAGCATGAGGTCAGAAGACCGTACCATAGACATGGAAAGCAGTGAGCAAGAGGAAGGCCGCCCACAGCAGCAGCACACTGTCAGCCACCATTCCGCCCACCAGCATGCCCACCAGCATGCCCACCATCGTTGCTGCTGTCTCCTGACTGCCTTCCTGTGGAGTGGGTGGGTGGCAGTAGGACAGACAGATAGATTGGTTCAGCCTGAGAGTAAACTATTGCCCCATCACATGCACCATGCCCGCCATCGTTGAGAGAATTCTCAAAAGCATGCGGACGGATCCCTGCATTTCCACAGAGTACTGGGGCAGAAGGAACACACTTAGTGGCGACTTTTGAGGCGCCCAAAAAATCGTCTCCATTAGTGAGGCGCCTAAAAAAGGCCTTTTAACAGAGTAGTGCGCCATGACCACACTGAGCAGCGGAGCGCGGCATGAACACACTGAGCAGCGCCTCAATTAGCCGAAAGCCATTCTCATGACAGACCCGCATACACCATGGGGAGGAGCTCCAAAACACCACAAGGTACCTTGGCGGAAATATCAGCAGCGTTCTGCCGCTTAGCAAAGTGTTGAGTAAGTGCTGCTCTTGTTGCACCGCTGGCAGTGCCAGCTGTGAGAGGACGGTGAGGGGGAAAAGAGAAGAGAAGAGAAAAGGGAAGTGTGGGCGAGCGGGAGAAGATTGAGGAGATTAGGTATTAAGGTGAGGGGAGAACGGGGGATTGGGAGGGAGAGAAGGACGGAGAAGCGGTAATTCAACCAAGTGGCAATTGCATCTATATCATCTAGATGCCATGTGGAGGTGTGGAAACTGGGCAGCATGTAAGCAGCAACTTGTCACCAGATGTTTTGTGAATGACATGTGGTAAGTTGGTAGTAACCAGCCCAGACGACCTGTGGTCGAGGCGAGAGATTGCTTCAACGAACAAAGTCTTAGAGTTTAATCAAGTGACTTACTTATGGCTCGGGAGATACTCCCAAGGCAGAGCAGCGGCAGGAAGGCGGAGGGAACGAGGGGGGAGAGAAGGTCTAGGAGCATTCCTGTCAGTCAAGGGATGAGTGAAAGAAAAAGGGAGGTTGAAGCAAGAACTGTGGAAGGGCGAAAAAGGCGAGCGAGGAAAACAGAAAATGCGGTTTCCTTTGGGATGCGTTTGAAAACGGAGAACTATAACAGGGCATAGAAAGACAACAGAGTATTGGGAGGAACAGAGTGACGGGCATGCAAGAGTGCATGGAGTTGGATAAAACACACAGAAAAGTGACGAGAGAAGCCAGGCAGAGCTAGGAGGCAAGGAGAGTTGTGGGAAGGGGGAAGCCAGGTGCAGGCTTGTGACGGCAGAAGGCAAAGAGGGAGGAAAGAGAGGTGCAGGTGGTGCAGGTGGTGCAGAAGGGGCAGGTGGTGCAGGTGGTGCAGGTGCTGTGGGATGGCTGAGTAAAGAGGGAGCGAGCAGAGAGGCGGCACGGCAGCGTACCAACATCATTGATGACGTCAGCAGCCAGCCTCCACTGCTTGGCATTGCTGTCGAGATTGGAGCCCTGCAGGCAACAAGGGAAAGGGTCAGAGTTAGTGCTCAGGGTTTCGGGCTTCAAACGGTGAGCTTGGCAGTCTGGAGAAGAGGGCTTTGAGACGCCTCAAAACAGAGTTGAGCATTTGATGCGCCATGCCATGCCGGGCGTCTAGTGGCTTGGGCTGACCATCTAACGCAGGGTGAAGGGGAGATGTTGTGCTGGTTGAGCATTTTTGCTCTCCATGGAAAGTTGATCAGAAAAAGAAATGACTGGGAGGATTGGTGAAGAGAGTCCGGCTGTTACAGGAGGGGCAAGAAGAAATGATCACATTATAGTGGACGAATATGATGTACGTTCAAGAAACTGATGGAAACAGTACACCCTGATCATTTGAAAGGAATTTATGTACCTTATACATGGCAAAGAGAATGCCTCCAAGCATGCCAGTGAAATCGCGCACAAACCACTGCAAGATGCAGGGGAGACGGGCAGCAGCACGGGAGGAAGGGAAGAGGGAAAGCGGGAGGGAGGCGTTGAAGGCATGCAAAGGAGGAAAGGGAAAGAGAGGGCCGAAAGACTTCCAGTAACATTGCAGCGTGGGCCTGACGAAATTGACTGGGGATGACTCGAAGCACGCCAAAAACGAGGATCATTAGCAGTGCGGAGCCCAAGATAAAATAGCAGCATCCATTAGCTCGTGATCGGATCCTGGGTCTGCCAAATGATTGATTGGCACATCAACGGTCACAGTCGATCAGGGACATGCGCCGCACTTCACGCGCCTTGCAACGCCTCCATGCCCGGCCATGCCATGTCCTCACACAGTTGCTGAGGAAGTGCACTCACCGCTTGCCTTTTGATTCGACTCAAAAGTCTGCTGAGGAAATGCACTCACCGCTTGCCTTTTGATTCGACTCAAAAGTCTGCTGAGGAAGTGCACTCACCGCTTGCCTTTTGATTCGACTCAAAAGTCTGCTGAGGAAGTGCACTCACCGCTTGCCTTTTGATTCGACTCAAAAGTCTGCTGAGGAAGTGCACTCACCGCTTGCCGCCTCACCTGGAACGTGGCGCTGATGGCCGACGCAGAGGCGCGGCCCACTCCCAGGCCGGCTAGCAGCACCTGCAGGGACGGAGGCAATGTGCGGTGGGAGGGAGGTGGGGGGGAGGGCGTATCGAGTGGTACGGGAGGAGCAGCGAGCACAGAGCACAGAGGCAGATGCGCGGCACACTCCCAGGCCGGCAAGTAGCACCTGGAGGGACGGAGGGAACGTGTGGTGGGAGGGAGGTGGGGGGGAAGTAATATGATGGGGTGGTACGGGACGAGCATAGGGCACAGAGCATAGGGCACAGAGCATAGGGCACAGAGCATAGGGCACAGAGCATAGGGCACGGAGCATAGGGCACAGAGCATAGGGCAAAGAGCATAGGGCACAGAGCACAGAGGCAAGCACACAGCCCACTCCCAAGCAGGCTAGCAGCACTCGGGGGGAGGTGGGGAGGAAGAAAGGTGGGAGGATGGGAGGATGGGGGGCCATGCACGGAGAAGTGTGTGATTGGCGTTTTGTGCGCCTGATAGCAGCACGTGGGGGGAAGGAGTGTGAGAGGATACAGCGGAACAGGAAAGAAGGCGGAGAGGAGGAGCGCAAGGTGGCGAGGGGACCGGGGAGGAGGGAGGAGGGAGGCGAGTATGAATGGGAGGGGAGGAAGAGGAAGGGGAGGGGGGGGTACCTGTGTGGATAGCATGCTTCGGATGTACGTCGACAGGCCCTGGATTGGGCGGGGAGGAGAGAATGGGGAGGAGAGGAATGGGGAGGCAGGTGGGATTCAGTGTGTGAGAGAATCAGAGGGATAATGGACGCACCGAGAGAGAATCAACGGACTCAGAAGACGGATAAACAAGTGAACAGCAGAGGTGTAATACGCTCGAGTGAGAGTTTAGGTTAGGCGACAGAATCTGAATATGAAACATGTGGTTAGTCAGAATCTGAATATGAAACATGTGGTTAGTCAGAATCGCGGCAAGTATCCATCGGAGACTGGTAGCAAACCACAGCATTGATAGTTTTGTTAGTATTTTCAAAAACAACCGTCCATTGTAGAGTGGTAATGAAGCACAGCAAGCAGCGCTTACCTGCAAGGTATCCCACGTTTGGAATGCGAGGTAGTCATCTGTAACACTCTCAGGGTAACCCTGCAGCAGTGCACAGTGCAGCGCAGAGCAGAAGGGGAGGGTTGTAGATTATACCTTCCGCCTACCAGGTACCTCTGCCACACTTGGGACATCTAAGATGGGTCCGACTGTGCACACTTAAAGACACGTGGAACTCCAGTTACGTGTCTCTGGCACTAGTACCATTGATTGGTGAGAGCCGAGCACAAGGTTTCGTCGGACTAGGAAGCCTGTAACACCCTGGCAAACAATTTCTCTCCGCCCTCCACTCCCCCTCCCCTGCCAGCAAATTCCTCCTCCCCCAACTTCCCCTCTTTCCCCCAACTCCCCCAACTCCCCCTCTTTCCCTCCACTCCCCCAACCCCCCCTCTTTCCCCCAACTCCCCCTCTTTCCCCCAACTCCCCCAACTCCCCCAACTCCCCCCTATTTCCCCCAACTCTCCCTCTTTCCCCCAACTCCCCCTCTTTCCCCAACTCTCCCTCTTTCCCCCAACTCCCCCTCTTTCCCCCAACTCCCCCTCTTCCCCCCAACTCCCCCTCTTTCCCCCAACTCCCCCTCTTTCCTCCACCCCACCACCACCCCCAAACCCCCCCCCCCCCAGCCCACCCTTTCTAACCTCCGCCCACCTCTGGCAGGAACGCTCCGCGCAGTGTGCGCACGAGAGAGCCGAGCGAGCCACTGCCGCGCGCAGACCTGGTGCAACGGCGGAGGAGTGGGGGAGGGGAGGGGAGGGGAGAGGAAGGGAAAAGGCGCAAGTGATGATAGAGATCAGTTTGGACCGTGCATTGGCTTCGTCAAAAGAGCTTTAGGAGGGTCCCTATCGAATCGACTATACAGACGACAGTCGAATATGTTGCCCAATTGTACGCGATGCACGGGGCGAGACAAACAGAAGGCGCGAGTGCCCGCGAGGCGCGGGGCGAGACGCACTGGAGAACGCGGATGGACGACGGCGCTTCCATGACGCCGGCCTGGCAAACTTGCTGTCACTAAAGAACGAACTGTTCTTTGGTAATCGATTGCCCAATTGCCCAATTGTGATTGATATAATGTAATCGATATACGAAATGGGACGCACTTGAGGACGCGAATGGACGACGGCGCCTCCATGATGCCAGCAAGCGCCGCAGGCAGCCTGCGCTTCCCGCCGCCGCCGCCGCCGCTTGCGGCGTTCGCGCCGTTTCCGTCTGTGCTGGCCGGGGGCTCCTCGACCCAGACAGCCGTGCGCGCGGCGTTCGGACCGCGACCGAATACCTCCTCTATAAGCACATCGCCGATTAGCGAGCCGTCGCGCGTCTTACTGCTCGCCATGGCATTTCCGTGAGTGTCGCTGCTGAACGGAAACGCGGGCTTGGGATGTGGAATTTCAGTACGACCCAGTCAGGAATTATCGCTTTTCGGGCGGAAGAATATATTCGAGGTAGATGTTCCAAAGCAGCTCAACAGTTATCGAGAATTTCATGCAGCTGCGATTCCGTGTGTGATGTTGGTGAGGTGGGTCTTCCCTGATGCGTGAATTACGTGGTTACGTGAAACCAGTTTCGTTTTCCCGAAAGGCCGCCTGATGTCATCTCACCTTACACAACCTCATCGCACCGAGTCAAAGATGCTCGCGAAATCGGTTCGTCAGGAAAGTCGCCACCTATCCGCGAGCTTTCGCTGCACCCCCTGTCCTGTGCACCCTGTTGTCCCCTCTTCAGTCCCCCACCTACCCTCGCAGGCTTCCACATTCCCCTACTAGGCACAACAGTCCCGTAAGCGTCCATTTTCATAATGATTTTCGGGTGGCGGTTCTAACTACTAACTACTCGCTAGTTTTGTAGTTACTGCCGATTTGTCATTGCCCAGCATTGCGCTCCGGCCTTTTGCTAGGCCGGTACGGCACCGAGTTAGGCTCGTCACAACCACGGATAGGCGATTCGAGATCCGCGGCATCGGCGGGAAGTCTGGGGATTGCCACTCGAAGCGTAAGGCGCGAAGTTCCGGTAGACTCACGTGCTGTCGCGACTAACAGCAAATCAGCACCTAGCGTGAAATGCGGTGGCCGACTCGATCATAGGCGGAGGTTCTCGATGCGGCGGACCCCGGGGGGATTGTTCAGTGGGCGCACGATACCGAAGGGTCCACCGAAGCTGACCGTCGCGTGCACTCGATGATGGCTTTCAATGCTGAGCGCGCGTCGGTAGAGTGAGCGCGCGCCACCATGATGGCGAGACGACCCGCCACGCGCGGGGGGCACGCCAGCCCCTTCCCCGCGGGGATATCCGCGGAGCATCGGGGGAGCTTCCGCTCCGACGATGTGGACCGCAAGGCGCACCACCCCCCCTCCTCGCTTCACACGCTCCCCCGCGGTGCGCGCGTCGTTCTCCTAGCAGGCACCGTTATAGTCACACTCCTCGGCTTTTCTGCGTTCGCGTTCTCAGGATCCTTCCGCCAAGCGCTGTTGAGTCAGCTCCGCCCATCTTCCGCCAACCCGTCCGCCGATCCTTCCGCCGACATCGTGCTCGGGGGCGATCCCGTAGCGATTTCCCGGGTGGATGCGCAGGCGGCGGAGGGGGAGGGCGGGGAGGCTCAAGCAGCGGAAGGGGAAGGTCCCCCAGCGGAAGGGGAGGGAGGAGCGGAAGGGGATGCGGGAACGGAGGGGGAGCAGCAGGGGGAGGCGGTTGAGGATGGGGAAGTGGGAACGCGCGGGAATGGGGGCAGGCGGAGGAAGAGCAGGGGGAAGCGGAGGAGGCGGCGGAGGGTGATGAGGGGGAATCGCGACAAGTGGGTTACGGAGTTACGGAAGAAGCCGTCGTGGCGCATCGCCAGTGGCTTCAAGGTGCGCTCTGCACTGGCCTCGCCTCGCCTCACTGGCCCCCCACTGCCCCACTTGATGTACCCCTCACTTGATGCACCCCTCACTTGATGTACCCCTCACTTGATGTACCCCTCACTTGATGTACCCTTCACTTGATGTACCCCTCACTTGATGTACCCCTCACTTGATGTACCCCTCACTTGATGTACCCCTCACTTGATGTACCCCTCACTTGATGTACCCCTCACTTGATGTACCCCTCACTTGATGTACCCCTCACTTGATGTACCCCTCACTTGATGCGCTTTGAGCATTCTAAAAAAACAGCTACACGCCCCTGCTGCCTTCACCCCCCTCCCACCCCCACTCCCCCCGCTTCCCCCTCTCCCCCCGCTGCCCCCTCTGCCCCCGCTGCCCCCACTCACCCCACTGCCCCCACTAGCTTCCCCACGTCACACTTCGTCCCTGAGTCCCCCTGCCTGCCAGGGCGTGCCAGCAGCACACCCAATCACTGACTCGAAGTGTCTCACGTGCGCAGTGCCAGCTCGCCCTATGTGCTGCTGCCACTGCTCGCCTGCCCCACTGACCCGCACTGACGCCTTGACTCCCTTTCTCTCCTCAGGGCGTGGCGTGCCGGGCACGCTCTCCCTCTCGCGCTCAGAGGCTCTCCCTTTTGAGTTGACTCAAAAGTCAGCTTGATGTCATGCTCAGAGGCTCTCCCTTGCGCGCAGGTGGCTGGCCTCGTGTGTCGTTTATCGCCAATTCCCCTCTGCTCCTCCCCCCTCCTCCTCCACCCCCCACCCCTTCCCCCAGGGCGTGCGGGCCACGCACTTGATCTCAGACTCAGAGACCCTCGCGTGCGCGCTGGTGGTTCGCCGCGCGTGCCACTTCTGGTCTCCTATTGGGCTACCCAAGCCTACCGCTGGTGGTGGTGGTGGTGGTGGTGGTGGTGGTGGTGGTGGTGGTGGTAGCGATGGCGGAGGTAGTGGTAGTGGGGGCAGTGCAGGGGGGAGCACAGCCACGACGCACGGGCACTACAGCGGGTACTGGTACAGCATGGACGGCAAAGACTTGTCTCTTCTGCGATCAGACGAGGACGTGTGCGGCCACGCGACCAGGCAGCTTCCGAGACCTTTCTCCCCGAAACGATTCGGCACCACGACTAAGTAAGCGACTTGCGTGTGAGTGGGGTGGCGGTGTAACGTGCTTTCGGGGGCAGGGATGGTAGGGTCGGTAGGGATGGCAGGGGTTGCTGCTACGGATGGTGGTTGTTGGTGTGGTGGTGGCTGTCGTGTTGGCGGATTACTTGTGTGTGATGGCATTTTTAGACAAACGCAAGCAGGCATAGTTGCACTGCCACTGCAACTTTACTCTATCGAGATCGTCTCACATATTCTGTGCTTCACTGCGTATCGGATGACGTATGGCATGTCATGGCATGGCATGGCATGGCCTGGCATGGCGTGTTGTGATGGCAGGATTCAGGAGAAGATGGGCATCTTTCTATCGCCAGAGCAGCGCGACCACATACTGCATCAGCAGAGCAAGCTGGGACACAAGGTGATGCACTCTTCCCCCTCCATTACCCTTCTCCCATTACCCTTCTCCCATTACCCTTCTCCCATTACCCGTTCCCCTCCTATTCTTTTGACCTTCCCTTCCACTCGCCACCCTCTCTTTCCCCCCATTCGCCCTCTTCCCTGCCACGTGTGCGTCTTCCTCACCCATCCCCCTCTCTCTGCATCCACACAACACCAGCCACCAGAGTGGGCGGATGTGACCTCCCCCGGGCGCCAGCTGCCCAGGTACCGCCGTGCCGTGATGTCCCCTCACGACTCGTTCCTGGGGCACTTCTGGGAGCGAGTAGGCGTGCTGGCCGAACTGCTGCTCGCGCTCCATCGCGCCCTCTCCCAAGCCCCGCCCTCCCCACCTCCTTCTCTCCCTCGCCCCCCTCCTCCTCCTCCCGCTCCTCGTGCTCACCGTGCTGGTCTAGGGGGCGTGGTAGATGGGGGGGAGGGAGAGGAGGGGTTGGATGGGGGGGAGACTGAGAGGGCTGATTCTGGTGCTGCTGCCGCTGGTGGCGCTGGTAACGCTGCTGGTGCCGGGGGTGAAGGGGAAGGGGAAGGGGCGGATGTAGGGGATCGGGTAGCCGCTTCTATCACTGTGCCTTCAGCCGCTGCTGCTGCTCATACGCCAGTGGTGTTGACTCCGTCGCCCCTCACCCACACTGCAGTCATGTTCGGCACCGATGTTGATGGTATGGTGTGGGACATGTGGCATGGGGGGGGGACATGTGGCATGGGACATGTGGCTTGGGCCATGTGGCATGGGCCATGTGGCTTGGGGACATGTGGCATGGGACACGTGGCATGGGGTCAAACGGTATGGGCTCATGTGGTATGGGGTCTTATAACATGTGGTCATATGTGGCATGGCATGGGATAGTATGGCATGACATCACACATCACCATGCATTACACATCACCACGCAATACACACACATCACCATGCATTACACATCACCACGCAATACACACACATCACCATGCAAGGCACATCACCATGTGTAACGATGTGTCCGTGTCCCTGTCCCTTGCGCTGCATTCTGTGCCAGTAAACGCCTCAAACCGTGCCTCTCGCTCCCCCCCTTCCATCCCACAGCACTTCCCCTTTCCTCACATCCTCTTACCGCTCCCACTTTCACACCCCAAATCGTACCATTCCGCTCCCTCCGCTGCCGTCGGCAAAGCTGACACGTTAGCAGGCGCTTTTACATGGATCCTCTTTAGTCCCAACACTCCACTCCTCGGTGCAGTTCCGCATTTCCCCTTCCCACGCAAGCCCGCTCCTCCCCCCCCTCTTCCCCCTTCATCCCACGCCCTCTCCACTTCCCTCCCCATCTTTGCCTCTCCACTTCCCTCCCCATCTTTTCCTCTCCGCCTCAAGAATGAAGCTGGCACCTTTTTGCCAGTCTGAGCCGCATTCTCTTTGGCGCTGCATTCACATTTTACACTTCCCTCCTCTACACCAAGAGAAATCGCTTTGTTATCCCCTTTCCTCCCCCCCCCCAATCTCTTTTCCCACTGAACTCTCCGCGGCAAAAGTGAAGTCGGCACGTTCGCCGGCAACCTCAGCCGCATTCTCTTTGGTGCCGATTCGCCGCTTATCCCCGGAAGGCGCCTGCATTGGGCTGAAGAGCCGCACCTGTGCTTTGGGGAGGTCATCTTTCCAATTCACACGGCATATTCCATGTGAGTTGAGGGTGCTGCATGCTGTCTGTAAGGCAGAGCATGTTGTATCATACCGCCTGGTCGCACGGGGCGGATGAGCCACACCTGTGCTTTGGGGAAGTGATCTTTCCGCATCATACAGCCTACTGCCTGCTCCGTGTGAGGTGAGGGTATTGCATGCCTTTCCATTCTTCCTCATAGTGCCAGGCTGCACTTCGGCGCCGAGCCATACGTGTGCTTCGGAGAGGCTATCTTCTCTCTTCACATGGCAGAGTCTTTGACGTTATGTGAAGGCGTGTTGCATCCTCGTTCCTCTCATTCCTGGCCGCCGCCTCCATTGGTCGAATGAGCCGCACGTGCGTTTCGGGAAGGTCATCTTCCTGCTGCACAGTGCACACTGCGTATTAGGTTTGAGGCGCCCCAAAGCTGTCATCTTCCCGCTGCTGACTGCGAATTCTACGTGTGCCTGTTCCAGCTTGCTTTGCACAGTTTCCTGCCACGTGGTTTATGCTTGCTTGGTAAGCCGACTCACTGACCATGCCATGTGGTCAGTCAATCACGGCCTATTCCGTGCAGTCCTCCTGTTGCACATTGCCTTGCACTGTGGCATGTAGTACTCGATTAGCTCACTCAATGACCTGTCGCTTTCACTGCTCGATGGCCCTCTCTTCCTACCCCCAGGAACGCCACTGGTTTAGTGAGAAGAAAAGCAAGTGCATGGGCTGATGCCCGACTCACTGCTGCTGTCACTGGTGCCAGTGCTGGTGGTGCGGGTGGTGGTGTTGGTGGCACTGGTGGTGGCACTGGTGCTGATGGTGGCACTGGTGCTGGTACTGGTGCTGATACTGTCGCTCCCCTCTCCCCCCCCCTTGCAGGAACGCCACTGAGTTTGTAAGGAGGAAGGCGTATGCATGGGCTGACGCCCGACTCACTGCTGCTCTCACTGGTGCCAGTGCTGGTGGTTCTGGTACTGGTGTTGCTGTTGCTGATGCTGATGCTGATCCTGGTGGGGAGGACGAGGGCGAGTCAGAGGACGGAGAGGAAGCAGAGCAGCAGCAGCGGAGGGAAGAGCAAGAGAAGGCCAGAGAGCAGCAGCTTTCAAAGCTGCCATCCCCACTTCAGGTGTGACGATTGATGCCATGCCGTGCCGGTGCCATGCCGTGCCATGCCATGCCATCTGGACAGTTGCTCTGTTTCTTCCATCCCCTCAACCTGCAGCACCCTCCTCCCCCCTTTCATCCCTCGCACCATTCTTTTCTCCTTCCTCCCCGGCGTTGCGCCGCCTATCGCAGGTGATGTGGCTGTACCGCTCCAACCGGCCCACGCTCACGAACGTGGGCGATGTGCCTTTTCTCCACCTCCCCACCCACTCCTTACGCTACTATCGCAGGTGACATGGCTGTACCGCTCCAACCGGCGCACGATCACGAACGCGGGCGATGTGCTGCAGCTGCTCACAGCGCACTTCCGCATGCCCATCCACATCATCGAAATCTCAGAATCCACACCGTAAGTCACCGCACTTCCTGCTTCAGGATTTGCACCTGCCACATGGATTACTTGCTCGTTCGTTGCTTTCCTTCCTCTTCTGGCTTCTGCCCTTCGAGGCTTCTCTCTCGCAGTCCGCACCCATCACCCTCTCTCTCTCCCATCACCCATCACCCTCTCTCTCTCCCATCACCCATCACCCTCTCTCTCTCTCCACCTCCCCCCACATCACCCCACAGATTCGACCAGGTGGTGAACACCATGCGCCACACTGCTTTCGCCATCGGCATGCATGGCTCTGCCCTGGCGAACATCATCTTCCTGCCCTCGGGCGCGTCATGCCTGGAGCTCATCCCCTACAAGTACCGCTACTTTCCCTACCTCACCATTGCGCCGCTCCTCAACCTCAACTACCACCAGTGGACCAACGAGAAGCGCGAGTTCGCTTCATTTGATGACGACTGCTTCGAGGGGAAGTGGGCGAAGCTGAGTCCGTCGGAGTGCTGGAAGATGAAGCCGTGCTTGCACTGTGTGCGCGACCATGCGCGCACACATGTGGATCCGGAGAGCATTGGGCCTGTTCTGGCTAATATTGGGAGAGATGTGCGCATATGGATTGGCATGTATGGTCTACCAGGTTCCTGAAATAGATTGTGTTGGAAATATCTCAAGGACTTAAGCGTTTCTGAAGTGTAACACTGTACTCGAGGAAGATTACAGGGGAGCACGCGAGTCAACGGAGGTTACACGAGGGGGCGGACAAAGAATGCGAAAGGACTCGAAAGGTCGCAACTGGAGGTTGCGACTGACCGTTACAACATCACGGATGGTAACCGAAGCGGCAATCGAGTCGCTGTGCGACTCGATAAACTGTTCCTGTAACTGTATTCTACAACTGCTTCCTTATCTTCTATATATTGCTGTATGCTTGTTTCTTTAATCAATCACTTGTTCTCACATACTAGTACAAGGGTTCAACTGCCTCAACTTCCGCTGCACTACTCCAAGTCTCAAGTCTCTACAGCTGGGACTTAGTCTCTGCAAAAGATCCTAAGGGCTTTTCTCAGCCCAACATGGTATGAGAGCTGGTCAGAGATCAAAACTCCCAGCAACTACACTCCATCAACAACCAGCAACTCAACTTGATTCAACAACTCCATTGATTACAAGACATGGACAACAAGGGCAAGAAAGTCTCTACGGGCTCACCCAGCGCCCAAGAAACTCAACACGGCAACTCTGGTCTGCACACCTCAGGACTGCAGACAGAGACCGGGACTACTCAAGAAACAACGGGAAGAGTACCAGAGATGGTGACTCCGTCTCCCTCTTCAAGTGTGGACCCGAATCTCATGGAGAGATTCTTCAGCTTCATGTCACACTTCGACCAGCAGCAGCAGACAAGGACACCTGCGCACTCAACACAGAGCAATGGAGGGAATATGGGATTAGCGCCGATGAGCCTCGACAACTCATCCTTCGGGCGACACAACCAAGCGCCTACCTTTGCGCCTTATCATTCTTCGCCGGGGACGTTCGAATTCATGCCGCCCCGTGCCCAGCCAACAGCAGCTGCTTCACAACAAACACCGAATGAAATCTTAAGTTTACAGGCGCAGTTCTCACACGTGATCAAACTTCAGACATCCTCACCGTTCAACGGACACGACTTCTTTACCTGGAGCTTCGAGTTTGAGCTGCTGATGGAGGCCGCGCATCTTCTGGGATACTTCAACGGGTCCCTGCCATTCCCAAGCAACGGCACTGGGAAGGAACAAGAGATCTTCACGTATCAGTCGCTGCTGGCGTACACGGTACTCCTGAGAAACCTGTCACCACAAGAGCAGCAGAGCATCAGAACGTATCGGAGTTATGGAAACTCCGCGGAGCTCGCATGGCACCACCTCAAATGCCTTTACCAAGCAAACGACAGCGTGACACAAAGCAGACTCATGCAACAGCTGACAACAATACAGATGAAGACCGGGGAAAAGGCGATGCAGTATATGAGTCGCTGCCAGACCCTCCGCGACCGCCTGCTTCGGTGCGGAGGAACGATCACTGAAGAAAGCTTCGTGACACTTGTCCTCGCCGGGCTCGGGCCAGAATGGAGAACCACACGATCACTTCTTCGAGCCCACGGAAGAATTTCGGAGATGCACCTCTGCGCCGAGCTTCACGCTGAACAACAGGAGATGGATCTGTTCGAGGAAAGACAACCAAGGAAGCAACAGCAGTTAGTCTTCTACACTCAAAGAAGAAATGACAACAACTACAACCGACGCAGCAAGCAAGATCAACGCGACAACCGAGGACTCACCATCGTGCCGCCGTTCTGCCACAACTGTCAGACTTCCGGGCACTCCAAGGTCAACTGCAACCGCCCTCGCGTTTACCGTGCAGCAGACCCACAAGTCGCTTCCACTCAAGCAAGTCCTCCAAGGCGCTCTTCAACATCTGCACAACAAACACCCAACATCATCAACTGCATGGTACACATCGACAACTGCGCACCCGCTTCACCACCCACTTACGCACCAGACGAAGAGGAATTCCCGCCGCCGCGCTCGCAAGGACTTCAGGTCAACCCGACATACGCTGCAGTCGCTAACGCCGAACCCACCGGGCGGAACACCTGGTTCTTGGACAGTTGCTGCGGTCAGCACATGTGCTCCTCCGGACGCTTCGTACAACACGAGCGACGCCTCAACCGCGACGTCGTCATCACCGTCGCCAACAACGAAAACCTGAAAACAAACAGGCAAGGCGTGGTTCAGTTACAATCAATGGAGACAAACGTTATTCTTCAGCTCAACAAAGTCCTCATCGTCGACAATCTGGGATACAACCTACTAAGCGTAAGCCAACTAATGGCTAAGGGGATTCACCTGGAGTGCGACTCCTTCTCCAACGAGTTCCGACTTTACCACGGGAAGGGCGGTCTCTTCATCGGTCGTGCCCTCCTGAAGTCCGGTGTCTTCGTGTTGGACTTCGTCCCCGACCGCGGAACTGCCGACAGCGATGGCATCGTATCGTTCGCCGCCTGGACTCACCCACCAGATCTTGATCCCGACTTCGACAGTGACGGCTTCTGGCACTCCACCACCATACCTGCAGCAGAGAGAACACGGGCATTAGCAGTTATCAGACAAGAAAGACAAGTACCAGCAAGCGTCCCAACAAAACCATCACCTACAGTATCGGCAGCAGGACCCAGCCGAGTACCACCACCATCAACACGAGGACCGCCAACGGAAGCAGACCAACTTATGCCCGCCACACGAGAAGCTTGTCGAAGTCCCGCCTCGGTCGTCGCGTTCTTCTCCAACGCCGACATCTACCACCGCTCGCCCGGTCACCGCGCTCCCGACGACATCTGGCACCAACGTCTCGGACATCCTGCAAACAGCACGATACTACAAACAATACAAGCAGAGGTGTTAGAACGTAACGCCCTTCTAACGACGAGCGGCCAAGAACTTCGCCGACCAAGAGCACGATGCTTCACGTGCCCCGAAGCAGATCTTCCTCATCAACCTTTCCCAGCCCATCACAATCCAAGCGCACCCACTTACGCTCCGATGGAAAAGGTCTACAGCGATATTCTAAACATGCCTCGAGACGACACCGAAGCCGACTTCAACTACGTCATCACATTCATCGACGCCGCAACCAGATACGTCTGGCACTTCAATCTCAAAACGCGCGATCAAGCCTTCGAGGCCTTCACCACATGGCTTCCAATCGCCGAACGAGAGTCAGGAACCAAACTCAAGAGTTTCCAGTCAGACGGTGCACTGGAATACCAGTCACAACGCTTCAGGACCTATCTCGCGGAAAGGGGAATCCGACGCCTGGTGTCTCTGCCCTATGCTCACCAGCAGCAGGGGGTAGCAGAACGCATGAACCGGACCTTGCAGACGACGATGCGAAAACTGCTTCTGGGGATGAGGCTGCCCAATACACTGTGGCCAGACGCGATGACACATGCAGTCCACCTGCACAACCTGTTGTCCTCGTCATCGCTCCCCAACAACGCATCACCGCACCTGCTGTGGACGGGAAAAAGGGGCAGCACAAAATTACTTCGAGTTTTCGGCTGCATGGTACAATACAGACCCCACACAGCTCGAGCAGGACGCTTCACTCAACGAGCTCGGTGGGACTACACCTCGGCATCGCCAAACATTTTCACGCGTGGAAGATTCTCGACATACACGACAAAAATACGGTGGCATCACGTGATGTTATCTTCTACGAGCGACTGACGCTGCAGCATTACCTGGACAACATTGCCAACTCAGACGACCCCACCGACGGCTTCGCGGGCCTTCGCTCCTTCGCTGACCATGCTGCCGAGGCTGACGCAGCAGAAGAAGACGTCCCTGGAGCCTCGGAGGCTGCCGGACCACTCCCCTACTGCTCCGTACCTGTTCCACTCGATGAAGATAATCCTCTCGATAGCAACAACCTCGACACCTTTTACCACTTCGCTGACCAAGGCTACGCTACACCACACCCCGTCGACTCGAATATTTCCGAACGCATCGGGCCAAACTTCTTACCCGATCCTGAAGACGGTGATGAAGCAGCTTATCCCGAGAATGAAAACTCCCCTCGACACACCGCCACGGGACTGCAGATCCTAGGACTATGGGTCTCCGTCCAGCACCCGCCGCCGCCTTCTCCGCGCGAGCCGTCGACCCTGTCGCAGGCTCTGGGGGGGGAACATAAGGCACAATGGAAGGAAGCGATGGAAAAAGAGTTAAAAGCTCTGCAAGACCGAGAAACATGGAAACTGGTACCTGCAACGAGCATCAACGGGAAGAACATTCTCTCGGGGAAATGGGTGTACCGCATCAAGACCAACTCAGACGGCTCCATCGAACGATTCAAAGCTCGATGGGTCGTACGAGGCTTCGATCAACGATACGGAACCGACTACACAGAAACCTTCGCTCCAGTCTCCCGTCACACCTCTCTGCGCATCCTACTCGCCATCGCGGCCACGAAGAAACTACCACTACGGCAAATCGACGTTGCAAACGCCTTCTTGTACGCACCTGTGGACGCCGAAATCTTCGTCGAACAACCCCACGGATTCATCGACGACCCTTCAAAAGTATGCCAGCTGGAAAAATCCCTTTACGGGATCAAGCAAGCCCCACGGCTCTGGCAGCAGCACCTTCACGGCCGGCTCGTAAAAATCGGATTCCTACAGCTACCACATGACCAAGGCATGTACCGACTACAGAAGGGAAGAGATTACATTCTGCTCATCGTCTACGTCGACGACCTGCTCTACATCGGTTCTACCACCGACATCGTCACCTGGTTCGAAGGGGAGCTGAAAAGGGACCTGACGCTCACGGTGTCCGACGAGGTGACGCAGTACCTAGGACTGAACGTCGTCGAAGACGACACGGCGTTCTACCTACACGCTGGAAAGTACTCAAGCACCGTCGCGAAGAAATTCGGTCTAACACCGACTGCGGTCCCAACTCCCTACCGCTACGGGAACAACAGTAGCGCCTCCACAAAACTCCCCGCGAAACAAATCCAGGAGTATCAACAGAAGCTCGGCTGTCTACTATTCGCAACAGTAACCTGCCGACCCGACCTATCCTATAGTGCGAGCCAGCTGGCGACACATCTGAAGCAGCCGCAACAGGAAGATCTCGAAGAACTCAATCGAGCGCTACTCTACTTCGTCTCCACGCCGACGATCGGGCTCACCTACAGCAAGGCAACAACACCGTCCGTACGACTACTCGGATACGTCGACGCCGACCACGCGGGAGACAGCGAAAATCGACGGTCTAGGACGGGCTACATCTACCGACTAGAACCTATCGGAACTATCTCCTGGCAGTCGAGCAAGCAG